GGCCAGCCACTGTCTCTAGAAGCCAGATGATGCTGCCATCTTTTTTGCTTCTAGAAAGAATTCTTCAGCGTCCCTGCCTTTATACATCATTTGATGTAGATGCAAATTTTCGTTAGGAGACATCCAATTCACTGAGTCTGGGTCATGTACCCATGCTGCCTTCCTTATTGCTGGGGGAGCCAGAAAAGTTGACATTTTCAGCTTTTAAAATTGGCAGTGCATTCTGTCCCCAGCAAGATTCATAAGGTGGGAAGGGCGTTCAGATCCTCGGAAGTCCAACAAACTAAAGATGAACACCTCCCCCTCTCCAGCCACACTCTGGACATGAGTGCCTTATGTCAAATCCAGGCATTCAGAGGGCAGCTTTCTTACCTGGAACTGGCTGTGTTCTTTCTTAGAGTGCAGGTTGGTGCCTCTGAGATGCATGATAACTAATAAAATAGTTATCTCAAAGGGTGGTCCACCCCCTTTGAGAACTTCCATGCTGGGGGATTTAGTGTTCAGAAAGTAAAAAACAGCTTTTGCTCAAAGGGTGGAGTTCTAAGAAGAATATTTATTCTGTGGTCCAGCTGATTTGAAACGACACTTCAGCTTAAAACTCATTCAAAAAAACAAAACAAAACAAAACAAAACAAAAAAAAAACAAAGAATATGCTAACTAATAAAAATGAAGATGTTGAGTCAATTTAAGTGACCATTATTAAGTGCTATAGATATGCACAGCTGTTGTCAAAAAAGTGTCTGAAGTACCCTGTCCTTAGTAAGGATATTAGAAACATAGCCAAAAAGATAGTTTTAGCCTTAGGTAAAGCTGATTTAGCAATGGGTGCTGAACCTAAGAAAGATGTAACAGAGGGAGAAAGAAATAAATATGACAACTAAGTAGAACAGGGCCATTGTGAGTGCAGGCCAGAAATATTACTCTTTAGGTGGGAAGATATTGGCCAAGAAGAGGAGACTGGAACATTGTGGAGAGTGTAGCATTATTTAAGAAAAATGATGATCACATTATCCAGAATCTGATTTAGGACAAATTATCATTGCTGAGAAATATTTTGTTGAAGTCATGGTGTATGTCACTTATACATATAAAATATATAAAATCAATATATTTTTAGGAGTTATTGAGTCTAAAATAATATAGATTCAAGGAAGATTTAAATAACTTGGTTGCTGGTTATTAGAGTCTTTAGTTAAATTTCTTTGTCTTGGAAGGACATGACTATATTATTTCCTTTGTCCTGTATGGTTTGTCAGAAAAATTCTTAGGCTACTTAATAGTTCAGTGAGTGAACCAAATGTCATATCTAATTTTCTTGTAAATTAGCAAAAAAAAAAAGCGTGAATGTGAAAAAGTGAGTTTTACAAGGAGAATCAGGCCCTAGACAAAAATATTCCATGACAGTGAAAGTAATTACACGGAGTAAGGTAAAATATAAGACTCAATATGAAATTGAGCTCAGAGTTCTTGGATTCCAGTGGGCTTCAGCTTATTTAAAATCACCATCAACTTTGTAAATTATTATGGATAAAATGCTCTTGAGTAACATACTTTAGTCGCAAGTTCTAAATTTGAGTCTACTTCGGGAATAATGATCAATGTTCACAAAGAGGGCGTATCATATGATATGTCATCGATCTTTTATTCTACAGAGTTAAAAATCCGCCAGTAATAAAATATAGGTGCAAGTGCTTCAACTTTTCCCTGTCTTTTGATTTTTTTTTCTTGAAATCATTCATTAAAAAATAGTGGGCTTGTTATTTTCTAAGTTATTGGCATGATCCAAATCTTGAGACTCAAATTTCATTTAGGAATTTTATTTCTCCTTTCCTTTCCAGTTTTTATACCAATCTTTGCCTTCTGCTGTCTTGAATCTTAATTCCTTAAAAAATATATAGGGAGAGGTGGTGTTGGTATTTAAATTCTGGGTAGGCTGTCATGTGGGATAAACAGTAGCTATCTTTGATGCTTCAAAGGCTGGGACGAAGACTCATGAAAGGAAGTTTTAACAAAATACCGAGGAAACATAGAATGGCTTGAACTTGTCAGGAATGCAGTGGGTTACTTCTCAAAAAGAGATTGAAGGGTGAAGTTTCTTACCTTGGGTGAAAGGTTGAACTAGGGACCTCTTGAGTCCCTTCCTGTAAGTTTCTGGAATGATCCACCTTCTCTCCTCCCAGGTGAGCAGGTGCTTCTGGGAAACAGTAAGAGGAGCTGAAGGACAAGGTGACTTTTCTCCCAACACTTGCTTTTGATGGTGCCAGGGTCTGGGTTTTATGGTACAGATGATAATAAACCCACAAGAAAGAAGTACCCTTGATGAGCCATTAGCAGATGTGCAATTTGGACCAGGATTAAAAGGATCCCTTTTTTCAGGCCAGCTGAGTTGTATTTTCATCACTAGGCTTGATTGTTTTATGAGGATTGTACTTCATTTTGGAAAAAGTTTTCAAACACAGTTACTAAAATGGAGTTTAATTTCACTCGATCTGCATCTTTCTTCTCAATTAAAGCATTTCTATAAAATTAACTCATTGGATAAAATTTTCAAATGGGCAGCAGCCATAAAGGAAATTTATTTAGTTCCTTACTTTGGAACTTATTTTTTATAACTCATGTTTGTGTTTTTACATCGATAGTGGGAAATGTTTATAATTTAGTTGATTAAAATAAATGTTTTAAAACGTCTCTCCACAGGTTCTTTATTAATGACAAAGTCAAAAAGATAACTTTATAATGGGGAAATCTAGTGGACATCTTCTTAGGCAAGTGACCAAACACAGCATCACTATTAATAGGACAACCTGACGTCATGAGCCCCCGGTATGATGCCATGAGAGGGATATGTCACACAAGTAGTAATCCTACCAGAATGCTTACCCTGAATTGGATCATGAGAAAACAATCAGACAAATTCAGATTGTGGAACATTTTAGGATAGTAAGGATCTGGACTCTTCCAAATGTTAACGTCAGGAGAGACAAAAACCGTGAAAAGGCTGCTCTCGATTGAAGGAGATGAAGGAGACTTGACAGTAAATGCTGCATGTAATCCTTGAGTGGATCCTGGATTGGAAATATACAATGGGTGTTACTAGGAGAATCAAAGAAATTTGGATATGGACAGTGTATTAGATAAGATTTTTGTATAAATGGTAAAATTTCTTAGGCATCAAAATGTTGAGTTTATATAAGAGAAATGTCCATTTTCTGGGGCGATACATGCTGAAATAATGTCTAAAACTTACTTTCAAAGATTCAATAAAACCCTGTGTGTGTGTATGTGTGCAGCTGTTATTTCTCTGAAAGTGCGCCACTTTGCCTTTGCTTTTCTGCTCCAGTGACTCCATTGCCTGGTACTTTCCAGCTTCATAAAGGGCCCTCGTTTACATCACTGAGTCTCTAGCATGAGTCATGCATGCCTTGAAGTATTTTGAGTCATCAAAGAGCAAACATAAGTAACTGATAATAGAAATTTAGCAGAAGGAGCCATTTAAAAGGCACATAATTTTAAGTTATCAAGCAAAAGAGAATAAATCCATACTTGTTGGTTTAACGTGCATGAACCTGGCTGTGAACCCCCTTTGGACACCACTGACTCTGCCTCACAGCGACATTTTGAATCTAAATCTCAGAGATTTTCCACAGAACTGGAGCACTTGGCAAGAATCAGCTGCAAGTTACACCGCAGTGGTGGTGCTCAAGAAAGTCTGTCAGTGCAAACGGGCTCAAAAAAATAGAATGTACACTGCCGGTAGTCAGGGCACGTGGAGCACTTGGCAAGAATCAGCTGCAAGTTACACCACAGTGGTGGTGCTCGAGAAAATCTGTCAGTGCAAACGGGCTCAGAAAAAATAGAATGCACACTGCCGGTAGTCAGGGCACATAAATATGTGCTAAGGAACCTCAGAAACTGGTTCCTAAGGTGAATATGGGAGGGAAACATTTTAAGGTGGAATGCTCTATCTGATAGGTGCTGGCAGATGAGTTGGTGGAATCAGTGAGCTTATTAAATTAGGCAGGCTCATATAACATGAGTTGGTGGAATCAGTGAGCTTATTAAATTAGGTGTGGATGGCAGGCTCGTATAATAAAGGGAAGGACACACTGTGGCCTGTCTCCACCTGATGCTAGATTTGGGACTATTATCTGCTGTCAAAGGGGTCACACATTATCTCAGAGTATGATGAAGGGAAACAAAGAGAGTGGTCTTCTGAGGCCATGAGGCTGTTTCATTTATTTGGATTTTCAGTAGGAGAAAGTCCAACTTTGGAAAACTGTTGCATTCAAATAACCCTTGAGATGTATTATAACGTAGCTCCCCACCTCCAGGCTCCCTATAGTGGAAATTTAGCATATTTAGAAATAACGATGTTTGGAACTATCTGACAATTTATTTCTCCTAAGATGAAACAGGTCAGATATTAAGTACCTGATAGGTTCTGTGGCATAGTTAATGGTCAGTGAGTAGGATACACGTAAGCTCAGGATTTTTACACCTGCAAGATGTGGGCACATTATGTAACCTCTTGAAGCCACACTTTCCTCATCATTATTGTGAGGACTAAATGCAAGAATGTTTGAGAGGTGCTTAACATGATACCTAGAACATATTAATGATTAAACCATAAATTATTGAATAAATTGGGGGTTTTTTTTTTGATGATGCCTGTTGCTTGACATCAGACTTCTTTGAAGGTATAGACTTTAAGATGCTGTGTAGACTAGTTTAAATATAAGAGTATAATGAACAAAAGTATGACAAAGATTATTGTATGGATTTGATGTAGAAAGAAAAATGATTTGGTTTTGCACGTAATAAGCTTGAGGAACCATACCCAGGTAGAGATGTCCAACAGGCAGTTAGAAATGGGATCTGGACCTTGAGAGAGGTGTGGCTATATGTGTGGCCTTGGGAATCAGTCAGCACCATATAGAGATGGTCGAGGTTGTGGGTAGATGAGATGACTTTAATAACTGTATCTCCTTTGCTTCATCAGCTTTTCCATGTGGCCTATATTTTAATCAAATTTGCAAATTCTCCTCGTCCTGATCTTTGGGTCTTGGAAAGATCTGTAGACTTTGGAAGCACCTATTCACCTTGGCAATATTTTGCTCGTAAGTAATCTTGCCTACCACTTTATAAGGGGCTTTAATTATTTGCAGCAGATTGAGACTTTGGATTTAACTAGAAAATTAGTCTCTCAGTGTGGCTAGTTAGGGACTGGTCGATTTTAACTTTCTAGATTATCCTCAAAACATCCCTATTACTCATGCATGTGTGCATTAGTTGCAAGGGTACACATCCAGAACTGAGGTTGAAGTGACTTTTATGTTAACAGTTCTTGCCACTATTTAGGGAGAAATAGTGTACCTGTAACTGGGCCAGAGCTCCAATCCTTTTCTTTGTATGCAGAATTAGGAACTTAGTTTTATCTTTATGGAGCCTACATTTCGCATAACTTACCTTGACCCTATCATTTTCACTAATGAAGAATGTCAGTGTCTGATGAATTGGGGTGGACAGGAATTTTGCTATAAAAACATTGGGTCTTCCATCAATGCTCCTCAGAGGGTAAGCTTACCTAATGAGGAGTGAGAACTTAGAACTACATCTCCAAACGTTGCTTTTGAAAGTCCAGTGGGCTGAAACAGCTTGGTATTTTCTTTCATGGTCTAAAAACTTCACTCTAAGCTTTTATCTAAAATTTTAAATGTTTCTGTGCTTTTTTGTGTATTTTCTTAAAGAAACAGAATTATTTAAGGTATTTACAACAAGTTGATAATGTTTTATTTTATAATATGAAAATATTTCCTTCCTAGATTCTAAAGTAGACTGTTTGGAACAATTTGGGCAGGCGGCAAATACAGCTATCACACGAGATGATGATGTGCTTTGTACTACTGAATATTCCCGAATTGTACCTTTGGAAAATGGTGAGGTAAGTAGATTTGGGAAGCCATAGAGATAAGACTCAGAAATAAACATGAAGATTTCAATGTTTCATAATAGCAAAACTTGCACTTTCAAGGAAATCTGACAGAGATCATGATGAAAACCAGTGCTTTTTTGTTTTTTGTTTTTTTTAAATTGAGGTATCATTAACATTGGAAATTCTGAGGTATCTGATTTTCCTCTGGAAGTCCAGATTCCGGATTCAAGGCCCACAGGTCTTGGACTCTCTTTTTCTGGTGGAATATTTAGAAAGTGGATTCTAGTGATTGAGGTGAAGATCCCTCCCACTGCTTCACAAACACATTATCCCTGTAAAGTGAGGAGATGAGGGATAGGTGGCAGTGATAATCCCTGATCCCTTTGGGTGGCAGTGATAATCCCTGATCCCTTTGGGATCATCGGTTGGGGAGAAAAGAATGGCTGCTCTTCCGGGTTGCATTTATTCCTTGTGAAGTCGCCAGACTGTTGTTAGGGGAGGTGGGAAAACAGGTGAGGAGAACAAAGAAGAATGCCATGGAAACTGTGAGGCCATAATGAGCATGAAGTGAGTTTCAAAAAATGTCTTTAAAGGGTGTCGGTCCCCCTATTTAGGCAGAAATATCTTTCTTGAGTAGCTCTATCCAGTATTTTACAATGAGTGGTGCACTCACCATATCTCGAATGGTTGGGACCTTCATTTTATATAGATTTTTCAAATCTCCTTCACTGTCTACTTTATAGCCAGAGACTTCCTTTTTCAACCTTATTTAGATTTTTCGATTACTTTGGCTTTGTTTCTTTGATGCAGCTTGACAAAAAGTTGTTTCCTTATGTTTATATATTTTAACATTATACTTTCAACATTTCATTGTATTACAGCCCCACAACTACACTGATAGAACAAAGGGTTTGAAAATTAAATAACATCTCCCGAGAGCCCTGGTTTTAAGGACAGATTGCCAGAATTCAAACGGAAAATGGAACTAGCCGTAATGTTTTTAGAAATAAACAGATAGAGATCCAAGACCACCTACAGACATCTACTAGCTCAAAGAAACCTTGTGCTTTGGGCATATGAGTTGTTTTTAGATACTTGCAGCTAAATTTTGGTGAAAGGACTTATCCTCCTTTATGTGTGTATGTGGTTATTTTAGGTTGTGGTGTCCTTGATAAATGGTCGTCCAGGTGCAAAAAATTTTACTTTCTCTCATACTCTGAGGGAGTTCACCAAGGCAACAAATATCCGCTTGCGTTTTCTCCGAACTAACACCCTTCTTGGACACCTCATCTCCAAAGCACAGCGAGATCCAACTGTCACTCGGCGGGTGAGCAGTGATTTTAAGTGCCTCTACAGCAGCTTTTGTTTCTTTTTTTTTTTTTTTAGCTTACCAAATTAATTGCCTTGTACTCTTTCATGTAATCTTTACAGCCAGGAATAGTGTATGTGTAGGAGTTGTTCTTATCTGAAATACAAGGTGTAATAGTAAAGTTTTATTGTTGAAGAAAAATCATTACATTCAAAGAAGATAAAAGGCAAAAGATGACAGCCAGCCTGGTATTAGTCTGATATTATAACAAACAATTCCCAAGTCTTAGAGGCTTAACAAAATAAAGTTTCATTTTTTGCTCATGTGACGGTCTAATGTGCCCAGCAGGTGGGGTCAGCTTCACACAGTCATTCAGGGAACCAGGCCTTGTTATCTAGAGGCATAGCATCCTGTAGGGCCTCAGAGTCCTCCTCTGGATTCCCTGCATCTGGTCAGCAGATGAGGAGAGAGAGAGAGAGAGAGAGAATAAAGGAGACCCATATGCTCCTAACCACACAGGTCACTTCCATTGTCAGGAATGGGTTGTACAGACCCGCGTAGATGTGGGAGGCTGGGTAATGTAATCTAGTTGAAGTAGAAGAGACATAGACATTGGTGAGCACTAGCACTCCTACTGTGTTGGATATACAGCCTGAACGTCTCTCATTCTTAGTGTCTCCTGGGCACAGAGGGAGCCATCAGAATAAATACCCTGAGCTCACTCTTCTTCTCCCACTCTCTGATTTCCTGCCGATGCCTCCCATTGGGCAAGCCCAACAGGAAGCCATAGGACAAGAGACCCTTAATTGCAGCCCTTAAAGTTCAGCTCCAATGCAAAGGGCAAGATGGAAAAAGGTGGAGAGTGAACTTGGAAGGGTGAATGGAAGATGTCCAGCACATCTCATAGAGTTTGGTTTCTTATGTAGGTAATATCAGAGATCTGGGAAAGGAAGGGAGAGAGAAAAATAAGTTGCACTATAGCCTTTAGCATTTTCCAGAAAGGCCTGTTATCTTGCATATTGGTGGCCTGGGCTTTCTGATAAACTATAGCTGGACTGTGTTTCTATTCCTCCAGGTGTTTTGAAGCCTCCATAAATGTACCGCACCACTTTTTTTTTTTTTTTTTTACTTTAATTGTCTTGGAGGTGTTGCAAGATTTGTTCTCAGATGTGTATATACTTCTTTTCACCTAAGAGAATGCACTCTCCTCTATTAAGTGATTTTTAATGGAGCACACAACGAATATAATCTTGAACCCCCAATCTACGTTGCTTCTCTGAATGGAGGAACAGAATATTAGCTATCCTATCACACACAGCCTGCGTGCTGCTGGGGTGAAGGCTGATTGTGTGCTTCTGTTTCTTGCTGCTGCCACCCTTATCCCATATGTGAAGAGAAACTTCCATGGTGATCAGCACAGAAGCCTCTGAGTATGAACATGTCACAGAAAGCCCTCGAATACTGAATTTATCCAGATTTACAAGAGAAGATGTTAATCCTTCAAAGTAAGACAGTGCCAGGAAGCTTAGACACTCAAAACAGTTTTTAAAGAGGAAATCAGAACAGAACCCCAGTATTAAGTGACTAGGGCACTTTAAGATGGCTAATCTCAGCGAAAACAACAGAGAGCTACAAGAACCCTCCTGTCACTTTTTCACTGACAGATATTCTTCTCAAAGGCAGCGTGATCCCAGTGAGAAAGATTATTCTATAGCCCCCAAATTACTCGCCAAATCCTGTGCATCTCCCACCAAATCTGAGAAGTAAGGGAGCTGGCAGATAGTGCCACCTGTTGTCGCTAGTGGAGAGGGCTCCAACACACTAGAGCTGTGCCTTGTCTATACGATGACCTACCCATAGTTGTGGCCTGGTTTAGTGGCTGATCCTTGGGTGGATATGAAGCTCGCTCTGTCCGGCCTTTGGCCTTATTAACTCTGAGCAAGACTTCATCAACTGCTGGTGGTCCCTGCCAGACTCAGCGCTGTATCTGATCCATCTTTGTAAATATTCTTTCCCTTCCTGGAGCTTGCACATACTAGGTGCGAAAATTTTGCTGTAAAATTTTATTTTCGGTAAATAAATATAGTCAATTTTTGAAACCCAGACTTACATTAAAAAATAATATAGGAAGCACTTAATCCCTTTCCAAAAGGCTATAGGGTATGATTCTTTTCCCTTTATGCCTAAAGCATTTGATTTTTAAACGTACAAATTCAGCATTATGCTATTAAGTTTGATTGAAGAATGCATTTTTTTTGTAAGACAAGTTACATCCAAATGTGGCTCCCTTAGTGTTGAGGCAGGCTCAAGAGAACAGGACAAAACAAACAGGGTCAGTACAAACCATGAGTTAAAGATTAATAAAGTTGTCTACAGCCATACTACCCTGAATAAGCCCGATCTTGTCTGATCTCAGAAGCTAAGCAGGGTCAGGCCTGGTTAGTACTTGGATGGGAGACCACCTAAGAAGACCAGGTAGTAGGCGTTAAAAAAATAAAAAAGTTTAGTAAAGTTTAAACTGACGCATTCTATTTTCTGTTGCATAGTATTATTACAGCATAAAGGATATCAGCATTGGTGGGCGGTGTGTTTGCAACGGCCATGCTGAAGTATGCAATGCAAACAATCCTGAAAAACTGTAAGTACATTGTACAGATTGCTTTTAGCCTTGCTATGAATAAGTCTAATTGTTTCGGTGGATGTTTGCATCCCATTAAATATCTCTAATGTCCTCGCCTCACCCAGATGATGCCCCAGACAGGTACAAATAATTAATTAGAGTTGCCAAGAGAAATAAAACTTGTCATCCCTGGTCTAATTTTCAAACCCTTGTTCCTTTTTTTTTTTTTTTCCGGTAAAATCACACAATATAAAGTTTACCATCTTAACCATCTTTAAGTGTACAGTTCAGGAGAGTTAAGTACATTGTGCAACCAATCTCCAGAACTCTTCATCTTGCAAAACGGAAATTCTATATCTCTTAAATGACAACTCTCCATTCTTTCCTCCCCACAGCCCCTGGCAACTACCATTCTACTTTCTGTCTCTATGAATTTGACTACTCTAGTTACTTCACAGAAGTAGAATCACACAATATTTGTCTTTTTGTGACTGGCTTATTTCACTTAACATAACATCATGAGGGTTCATCCACATTATAGCATGTGTCAGTATTTCCTTCCTTTTTGAGACAGAATAATATTTTATTACTTATATATTTTATTATTTATCCATTCAACTTAGGTAACTGCCACCTGATGGCTATGAACATGGGTGTACCCTTTTTTGTTTTTAATTGAGGTATATTTCCACATACAATAAGATTCATGGATCTTAAATAGTAAGCATTTGGCAATTATATACACATGTGTTACCATCACAAGGGGGGTACTTTTAAGGGCTGGAAATTACCAGATGCTGGATATACTAATAATTTTTTCTCAATGTTTTATTTAAAGTCTACAATTCCCATGAGTAGTATTTACCAGGGATATGTTTTACTTTAGTCAGGTTCAGGTTTGTGCATTTTTAGGTCTAGCTCATGTTCAGGCAGAGGTGCCAGCTACCGGCTCATGTGGTGTGCTTTGTGGAACCCTTCTCCCTGACCAGCAATAGTTCCTAATGTTGTCAGCCTTTCTTCAGAGGTTAGGTGGTGCTATCTGAGATAGCAGGGTGAAGCCATCAACTGACTAGCCTTTAACTGGCAAGGACATGTTTATTAATGATTAATACATTGCCACTGTGTAGCCTGGAGGGTACGGCCCTCAGACACTAGAAGCCAGGTCAGGGAAGTCCTGCATTAGAGAGAGGGGAAAGGGGAGGTTGGCCTGTTGTTCCTGCCGAGACAAAGTGACTCCACTTGGAAGAAGAGTTGAAGTCACCAGAGCTCTGAGGTTCCCTCTTGGAAGGGCTGCCAATCCCTGTTGACTCTGCAGACCCGCAGGGTGATCATGATTGGCGAGGCCATCTCCCCATGCCGTGGTGGAAGGCTCAGATTACCATCGCTCTACGCCAGCACAACTGCTTTGTCTTGCCCTGTCTGCTGGTTTGCTTCTGCCTAACAGGCTGGCTTGAACAAATGCTGATGAAATCCACATCCATAAATAGGAAAATATCTTATGTATAAGAGGATGCAGAGGCTTAATGGAGGGATCCAAGGCTGGACAACCAGAAAAAGTTGTTAATTTAGCAGAAGCCATGAAAAGGCAGAACAAGCCTTTAACTGAGCTTACATACCCTGCTGACCTTGAAGCACAGAAACATGGATGGATCACAGATTTGATTCTGAACTTCCTAGAAGTCACCTCAAAAAGAAAAACCTGTTGAGTTTCATATTTCACTGTGATCATAACCTAAAAAGTAGTTAGTTGCTTAATAGAAACATGACAGTTGAAACTAGAACCAGGTAAGAAATTTCCCTGGGAGTAGAGTGGCGTGGTCCTCATGAAAAGGATTCTCTAGTCAACAGCATTTTTCATAACATCCTTACAGTAGATTCGAGGATGAGTTTTCTATATTAACCATCAGCCTGGGCTGAGAGAGAGTCAGAAAATGCAATTATTTGGGGGTGCCAATATGATTTAGACAAGTACCCAGTTTTTTGTTTGTTTGTTTTGCTGTTTAATTTTAATTTCCTTGTAGTTGAGCTACGTGTTCTTCAAGCCATTATCCCTAAATAATTCTTTCAGTCTAGCTTATGCAAATACATCATTGGTAAGGAATCAAAATTTGCCTCTTTGACAAAAGCCCATTTGGATTCCAGCTGTTCTGTGCTGTCAGTTAAATCAATGTTCATTTGCTTTAACAGGAAGCTGAACTTGGAGAGGGTTGACACCTTCTATTAGGAGTGTAATTAAATATTTGCCTACCCAACTTCCCTTGGAAGAATTAAGGGAACTCCCACAGGCACAGCTAAGAGCCTTCTTATATAACTGTTGTGAATCTTCTTTCAAGCACAGATAAATGGGAGCTCAGAACTTGGAGTTCTAACCCAATGCCATGGCTACAACAATTTTATTTTAACTTAAAAAAGTTTTAAGGCAGTTGTATAATCCTTTGAATGTAAATTTTAAAAAGATTTTTACCCTTTTGCCTTGCTGAGTAATCTCAGCTTTGGGCCCTGTGATGAAGCTATTTGTTGGTGCTGATGTGGCTTCTTGGGACAGGGTCCTCTGAGATCTTAGTATCTTGGATTCGGTGGGTTTCTGTGCATGACCCCAGGCTGAGACCAAGAAACCTGAGCAGACCTTTATGACAGGATAACTCCAGATCTTTGTGAGGATGTGACACTCAACACATATCAGTAAACTAAGCACTTGCCAGCTCATATGTTGATTCAGTGTAATATAATGTGGTAGAGAAGAAAGATCTGGGACTTTGGAGTCAGACATACAGGTTTGAAATCTGGCTCTCATCACCCTTGACCTTTGGCAGATGTTTTAATTTCTCTGAATCTTAGTGTCACCATCTGTAAAATGAAGATCTAAGCAGGATGGGGGAGACTTGGAATAATATATACAAAGTGCTTTGTTCTCATAATTACTAAATAAATGGTACCATGGGTGACCATGGTGACTGTCAGTTTTTTGCACAGGAACAATTGATCTTAATCAAAACTTTTCAATAACTGAGACGTGCTTCACTCCATGCCCAGGTTTCGTTGTGAATGCCGACACCACACCTGTGGGGAGACATGTGATCACTGTTGTGCTGGGTACAATCAGAGGCGCTGGCAGCCTGCCATGTGGGAACAGAGCAACGAGTGTGAAGGTGAGCATGGGGGAGGGGAACTGGGAAACCAGACCCCACCCTAAATTCCCCGCCAACCATTTCTACCTGAGGACTGACGCTGTTTTCCCCTGCTCATGAAGAGGGTGAGATCATGCCAATCTTGAGGTCCCAGGTCTTTCTAGTGTAATGAATAACTCACAGACTAGAGGTGTAAATTCAGATATAAATTCAGATATAAATATATGAACAAAAATAACAATAATAATAATCTTTAATATGTATTAAGCTTTCCCTATATGCAAGGATTGGGCTGAGTGCTTTAACTAATTGGCATCTCTTTTTAGCTAATGAAAATATGATGCAACCACTATTAAATTTTAAACCCTTATCATTTCTTAGGATGTGATACTAGATCAGAATCCTAACTGTTTTTTGAGGACTGAGGTCTGGCAAAGGTGATGAGAGTGGTGTCTAAACGGAGAGCTGGACACACTGAGGGAGCAAGGTGGATGGGAAGAGTACTGTAGTAGGATTAAGGCAAGTACAGATGGAGGGAACCTGAGAAAGAAGAAAGAAAGACAAGAGGCTCCTTTTAATTATGGGTACAATATAAAGTAAGAAAACTGTTATCTTAACAAGCAAGCCCTACAACATCCAACTAAAGATTACCTTTTAAACTACTCTTCTCAGGAAGCCATGTATTTATTCCAATTGCTGAAAACATTTTTGTAACTTTTAGTTTTGGGTTTTGGAGACCATATCCTGTTTTTTTCTGAATATTCTTAGTGTATAGATTGAAGATGGATTTGCTTTTTTGAAATGATCAAAAGGTGTTTGGGTCTAGATTTGTTGAAGAATGATATAAGAAAGTGTTCTTTACACATTTTGGCCAAATGTTTTTTGTATCTATTAAGAAATATGACTGATGATCTCTATGATCAGCAAAATTACTCAAAAGGCATTGTCCGTGAGGAGTTCTGAGAGTGTTGGAAGGTGCCGATGCTGCCTGAGACAAAAACTCAGTGCATCGCTAGGTACAGGGATGTTACCTGGATGGCAATTCTCACTTTATAGTCAAGCAAACAGTGACTTTCTAGGTGACTTCCCCAATCTCCTCCCCCATAATGGGAATGAAAGGAGGGAAACATAGTAATCAAGGGTTGATTCTTCCAATGCTTTCAGGCACTGGTTTAGGATACTTTGATTGAATGAGTATTAGTTATCATGTGAACTCCAACATTAACAATTTGGTTAGTTCTTCAGACCAATGGAATCTTTCAGTGAATGACATGCTTTATTTCAACACATATGACAAATTCTAACTAATTTCCTTTCATTAGTTTTTAATTTTTTTACATTTGTGATAATGGTTAAAAATTACAAAAACGACATATGGAAAGATCAGACCTATTTGTTAGATGCTTTCTAAATTCCATCTGAACTACTGAAATTCACAATAAATAGACTTAAGAAATAACTGATGTAGTAAATATACATGCCTTGGATTTTTTAATTCATGGCACCATTGAGGAAATGAAAATAAGTAAGTACTTAGCCTTTTAAGAACAGGATATTGAAATTCTAACTCAAACTTCTTTCCTAATAGATTTATCTGGGAACTTGATTAGAACCTACAAATTACTAGAAAGACTTAGAAAATTTGGGCTAGGTGGAATGTAATGAATAGATATTTTGCACAAGCAGGAATAAGAATTTTACTCATTAAATCTTTTTCATCTTGGAAATAAAAGAAATCCTAAATGGGTTTTAAATTATGTTTTCTAATTATAGAAGTATTATACATTACTTGTAGAAAACTTAGAAATTATTTTAAAAAAATAAAATCATCAATAATTTTACTACCCTAAGAGAACCACTATTAATATTTTTTTAGGTATTTTACTATTTTTTTGATGCATATGTTACTCAAGAGTATATTATTTACACAATTTTATATCCCGATATATTTAGATATTCTTCCATATTCTTTAAAACCCTTTGACATCCTTTTTGATGGCACGTAGTATTTTAATTCTATGCATTTAAGTGTATCCAAAAAATGTTTGTTGAGTTTCCACTATGTGCCAGAGAATGTGCTCTGCTGCAAATAAAACACAAGCAGTTCTTGACTTCACGGAACAGTCAAGCAGATATACTATTGTTTGCTTAGTCATTTCTATATATTAGACATTAAGATTATTTATAATTTATTGCTATTATAAATAGTGCTGAACGGTTTAGAGTATGGGCTGAGATAATAGGCTTTGAGGCCAAATATAGACAAGTCAGGATTCTGCCTCTCTTACTTGTGAGCTGTGTAACTATGGGCACATCCCTTGACCTCTCCAAGTCTCAGCCTCCCCATCTAGGTGAAGAGGATAATAGTACCTACCTTAGAGAGTTATTGTGCAGATATTGCATGTAAATCACTTTTCACAGTGTACCAAGAGCTCAATTATTTTTGTTAGTAGTAGTAATAGTAGTAATAGCAATATTCTCTTTGTGCATGAAGCTTAATTGGCATTTTGGTTTATCTTAATTTATTGTAATTATAGATCTTATTTCTTTAAAAAGAGAAATCTCTATCACTTAATATCAGTTGAAAGAAGCTTGTAAATTGTATATCGTTCTAGGCTGGTCTTTGTGTAAAAGTCCCTAAAATTTTCCATTGAGAGTATTCCTGGTGTTCCAGAATAGACTTTATTGTAGTTCAATGAGCCATAATACTATATGAGGAAATTTACTACTAAGTGTCTCATACTCGTGATGAATTATTAACTTAGAATTTTTTTTAGCATGCAACTGCCACGGCCATGCCATCGACTGTTACTATGATCCAGATGTTGAGAGGCAGAAGGCAAGCTTGAATATTGAAGGCAACTATGCAGGTGGAGGGGTCTGCATTAATTGTCAGGTGAGGCACTATTTAAATCAAAGTGGGTGTGCCACTACAGGAAATGAGCATTAAGTAAGCCCTGCTCCTAGAAAATGTCAAGAAAATGATATGCAATTGAAAGGATTTTCTGAAACCATTTCTCCAGTTTGGTACGCAAAAGTTGTTATTAACTGAATATAATTTAGGGATTGTAGAGGAAATGAATTGAGGTATGCTTGCCCAGACTTCATTGATTATGTTCTTCCTGTAGGTCTTTGCCTAAATGGAGAAGAGAATCGCTGGTCATTATCCCGACTGCTACCTATTCATGGTTGAAAGGTTCTAAGATAGGAGAGCAAATAGCTGTCAACTTCAATGCTGACCTTAAATCATGTTTTCAGGCAGATTCTGAATTTAGACTCAGCAAGGAAGTGCATCATGATCAATTAATGATGTCTGCCATTGACACCAAATTAGGAATGCTGATTTTTCATCCCTTCTATAGGACAATTGGGTTCATTGAAAATTAGCCAAGAAGACTATTAGCCAAGAAGGTATAATGTTCATGAACTTAGTCTATATTGTCACTCTGTCTTATGTACTTTTATGGTGATGTTTTGTTAATATTAACATTAAAGAGGTACTCTTTTCATGAGATGCTTATTTATATGGGACCAGGGCTACACACCCTTAGAGAGACCTTCTCTTCTCCACTTGTGTTCCATTCCACATATTTTGTATTATCTGTCATTGCAGATAATTAAAATATAAGTAAAAGCTAATTCATAGGTTTGTTACAAATCATGAGGTTTCATGAATAAGTGAAAGAACACAAGATCATCTTAAGGCAGTGCACTATAAGACCTCAGGTGATTCATATGCACATTAAAGATGCAGAAGCATAGAACTAGGAAGTGTAGGTGGAATCCTTTTTCTAGATGAAGGATCAAGCTCCTCAATGTGTCTTTAGAATATCTTGTTCCTCCCCTTCTCTCAGTGATATTATGTTTTGTACTTTGCTGTTCCAGAAAACTATCAATATAGTCCTTTTATCCAAAGTGGCTCTGCAAAAGCATTTTATTTTGCATATGAAATTATTAAAGTCTTGTTTAGTTCATTGCATTTTTTTTTCAATTTATACTTAAAATGTCTTTGTTTAACTTAGGTATTAGGTTAGCAGAATTAACATATTTTTTTGTGGTGGTGAAATATAGATAACATGAAATCTGCTATTGAACCATTTTAAGTGTACATTTCAGTATAATTAACTTTTACATTACACTTATAATCAAGAAACAAGAAGAGAGTTTCTGCTTCTGTTATGGTTAGTAGCTCCAACAAGACCTAAACCTCTAACAGATAACATCTATATAATATAGACAAAAAAACAAACAAACAAAAACAAAAGGGCTCCCTTCCCCCAAACAGTGATCTGAAGGCACCGGGGAGTAAACATAACAAGAAAATACTGGTGAAGAGCTGCCACTTGGCAAAAGGGATCAGCATAAAGAATTACATGTTTTTATGACTTTTAGCTAGAGGGCAGACCAAACTTGGTGCCATGCAGCATGGCTAAAATTCCTCTAGAAAATCTTGAATCTTTCTGGCCTGAAGTACAAGAAGACAGAGCTTAGGACAACTACAACTTTTAGGAAGTGAGTGGAGATTCCAGGAAAAAAGAAATTGAGAGGAAATCTCTAATTCTATGTATAAATTCTTCCCAAGTTTCTGACTGACCCTTGAACCATCTGTGCAAAGGATGGATCTCAGCTAAAACTAAAATAATTTATTTGAGATTCGAGTTATCATTCAAGAGTCAGAGTTTGCAATTTCAGTAAAGTTAATTGTCTCAAAAACAAAAACAAAATCAATATTCTTTAGAGAAATATTACAGAATCCAGAATCTCTACAACATAATATTTACAATGTCAAGGATACAATCCAAAAATTTCTGACATTTGAAGAATCAAAAAAAGATGACCTATTCTGAAAAAGACAATTAATAGAAATATTGGCAGAGAAATAAAAACTATAAAAGGAACTAAATGAAAATTTTAGAACTAAAACATACAATATATTAGATTGAAAATTCATTGGATGGGTTTAACAGCAGAATGGAGAAAATAGAAAAAAAGAGTTAGTGAATTTGAAGACAGATCAATAGAAATTATCCAGTTTGAAGAAGAGAAAGAAAAAACTTTAAAAAAATGAACAAAGATTTGGGAATTTGTGGAACAATATCAAAAGGTCTAGCACACATGTAATTAGAGTCCCAGGAGAGATGAGAGAATGAAGAAGAAAAACAACAACAAAAGAAACAATGGAGGAAATTCCTCAAATTTCGCAATACACTAAGAGTCAAAAGGTTGAGTGAACTCCAAGGTGGATAAATACAAAGAAAAGCACTCTTGGGCCTAACAACTGAAAACCAAAGACAAAATCTTGAAGGTAGACAGAGAAAACAACACATTACAGTGACAGTGGACTTCTCAGAAACTATGAAGTCCACAAAGTAGTGGAGCATATCTTTAAATTGCTAAAACAAACAAGCAAACAAACAAAGACCTGTCAACATAGAATTCTTTACTTAGCAAAATATCCTTCAAGAAGTAAAGCAAAAAGAAAAATGTTTCATCAATAAAATAAAGCCAGAAAGGCTAAAGCAAGTTTTTTAGGTTAAAGAGATATGATAACAGATGGAAACTCAGATCTTCAGGAAGAAATGAAGAGTATAAGATCATAAATGTCTGAGCAAATATAAAGGACTATTAAAAATATGTAGGGCTGCTTAAAGTAAAAGTTGTCGCATTATATTGTGGGATTTATGTGTGTGGATATCATGCATATGAAACTATAGCATAAATAACAGGACATATAGGACTACGCAGTTTCTACAGTTTACATGAAGTGGTACAATATTAACCTTAGTCAGACTGTGAGGAGTTAAGGATTTACATAATCCCTGAAGCAATTAACTAACAAAATAATGCAAAGAGGTCTAGCTGAAAGGCCAATAGGTGAATTTAAGTGTATTTTAGTTTTAAAAATATACAAATAAAGGAGGAAAAAAAATGGTGTAGATGATAGAGGCTCTGTTCATCTCTCTGGCGACCAAATCAAAGTTGTGACGGAAACAAGGAGCAGCAGCAAGGAAAAATCACCTGGGATCTAGAGGAACAAGCCATACAACTAAGGAGAAATCTAAGAAATCACCCTGCAATGGCAGAAGATAGGACAAGGGGAGGAGGCTGCCCGGTCTCAAGCTGCCGAGTGAGACGGAAGCTGTGGCAGCGGCAGTGGCAGAAGCCTCTCAAAGGGGTGCGCGTCTGTGAGCAGATTTTCGCAGTGATGGTCCTGCTCGATCTGAGCACCAGTGTCAATTCGGCTATGTGCAGGGTGCACCAGGGACTTACCAGCGAAACATTGTTGGAATGAGGGCCGAGGTGAGACTTGCGAGATACAGAAGTGCTAGTGGTATCCACTGTTCCCTGTTGAGCCCTCCCCCACTACCAGTGAGCTGACGCAGAGCTGCCAGAGCCATGAGGTCATCACACTGGATAACAGAGGTCACTCCACCCAGAGGATTCCCTGAAACCCCACCTCCCCCAACTCGGGGCCCCACCCAAGCCATATCCAGGTGTATCCTCAGCGAGTCAGGTGTTCCTTGCTGAGCAGTGCCTAGACTGACATGGAGGCAGTTGGCCTCAGTTTCTGGTGTGGCCTTTTGTGGTAACTATAAGTACAGCATCTGTGGATTGCTTGCTGAATCTTAACAGGTGGCCCCAGAGGGGCACAGGCTTGGGCTAAATATGACCTGCAGCTGAACCCCTCTCAGGACTATGTCACTGGACATCTACTATACAAAGCCATACTAATAAGACCGGGAGATTTAGGAGCTTTTCATAGTACATAGAAACAGACACGGAAAGGCAGTCAAAATGGGAAGACAAAGAAGCAGAAACCATATTAGAGAACAGAACAGAGATCGAGGAATAATGGAGTCAAGCAATCTAACAGATGCAGAGTTCAAAACACTGGTTATAAAGATGCTTAATGAACTTTTGGGAAGTATAGATAAATTCAGTGAGAACTTAAACACAGAGATTTAAAAAAACATGAAAATGAAAATGGAAATTATAAAAGGGAACCAGTCTGAAATGAACACACTGAAATGAGAAATATATTAAATGGAATAAACAAAGTGAATAAAGAAAAGGATCAAATGCCCTTTCTAGAGGACGGGAAAGCCAAGGACACACAATTAGAATGGCAAGAGATAAGATGTCAAGAATATAAAAATAATTTAAAGAGCATATGAAACACTATTAAGAGTGAAAATATCTGTCTGATTGGCATAAGTGAAGAAAATCAAGATGTTGAACAGCTGTTTGAAGAAATAATGATGGAAAACTTCCCTAACTTGATGAAAGAAATAGACATAAAACTCCAGGATTTCCAAAAATCAGGGATCCAAAGAGGCCCATACCAAGACACATCATAATTAAAATGCCAAAGGTTAAATACAAAGAAAGAATCTTAAAAGCAGCAAGAGAAAAACAAATAGTTACTTACAAGGGAAAACGCATAAGACTGGCAGCTGATTTCTCAAAAGAAACTATGCAGGACAGAAGGTTTTCACACAAAATATTCAACATGATGTAGACTCAGGATCTACAACCAAGAATATTTTATCCAGCAAAGTTATCATTTAGAGTTGAAGGACAGATAAAGAGCTTCCTAGGCAAAAATAAGCTAAAGGAATTTATCACCATCAAGCCAGTATTACAGGAAATGTTGGAAGGACTTTTTAAGAAGAAAAAAACATGTATCAAAAACAGGAATAAAGAATGGTAACAACTACATTCCTATCAATAAATACCTCAAATGGAAAAGAATTAAGTGCTCCAACTAAAAGATAGAGTGGATAAATGGAAAGGAAAACAAGACCCCTACATGTTGCTATAAGAGACTCACTTCAGATTAAAACACATACACAGACTAAAAGGAAGGGGATGGAAAAAGGTATTGCTTTGATGGAC